TTGAGGAATATTGGTTCCTCTATACAGCTAAAGATAAAGCTATCAGTGATACTTCAAAAAGAAAACTCCTAGAGCCTCAATGTCAGGACCAGTCAATACAATCAGTCAGTTGATTTTCAACGTACTCGCTCTATACAAATAAGAATGACGATTTGCTATAATTGATTGAAGAGGACGATCCAGAGTTTGATGGATTTTTTTAATAAGCCATACGGAACTAATAAAGAATTAAAGAAAGAACACAATCAGAACAAAAGCACAGATTAAGTGAGGAGACTAAATAAACAGTACATGAAGATGTTGAGAGAATTAGAAAAGAAAATTTAAATCTAGACGAACTTAACATATTGTCTATTGTTTGCCTTCTGGCGTATTTAATTAAGGTCGGGTATCTGATGAGTTTTTAAATTATAAATTGGGCTTAACATTCCGTTTAGTCTATGATATATTCTTTTGAGTTTAGCCACTAATTGCCCATGTAAGATGACATATCAGTAGGTAAGGCACGTTGATCTTGATTGTAGCAGCTAAGAGCAGTCTTTTATACTGTATTGTTTATCATTGTTGTGCTTGTCTTTTTGCATTTATTATCTATTAAAGCGGTGTGATAGAGTTCTGTGCTTTTTCAGTACTATTTGTACGTTCTTTTGTGTACATGTTGTCATTTCATTGTTCGCTAGGGCACATTTGCTGTGCTAAGTTAGAGCTATATGTATTTTTTGCTTTGGAAATGTTTTGATTTGATAATTTCTATTATTTATTTCAATGTTTTCTTGACTGTTGGTGATTATAAGCAAAATTTGTCGAATATTGTTAGAATGATGCATAAAAAATATAATGAATTACCAAAAGTATAGAAATGTAGAACAGACCACACCAACAACCGGATGATTCTTTCAGAATAAGACGTACAAGCAAGAACGAACAACACAATAGCCATCTAGTGGGACTAAGTACAGGCACACAATGTTGTCAGGTAAAACCTGATATCCGAGTGCGCAAATATCCTTTTGTCTATATATTATGTATCGTTATAAATAACGAACACTAGAAATTCTGCATAGATTGTATGTTGACGTTTTGATGTCGTTTTCTGATTGTGTCAATGTTACTTTCTCATTGAAGTATACCAACAAAGCCTTGTTTTAATTCATATACCACCCAAAGTGGTGTTGCAAAAGTATACATTTTCCAACAGTATACCTTGTCCCTTATGTTGGTTTATAAGCTCTTCATTTTTCAATAAGTCTTGGATTATCAGTTATCAGGTTTATAAATCATTATATTTAAAGGGTTTTACAATTCAGAATGTGTATGTATATGTTTAATATTTAATACAAAACAAGCTCATATGATTTTTAAGTTCACTATTTTCTTGGCAGAAAAAGGCCATAACATTTAATACACCATCTCTTCTAAATTTTATTGGATCTAATATTTGTGTGTAGTTAAAATATAATTAATTAGATGGAATATCAAAATATATAATACTGAAGATTTTGTACCCTAGGAAAAGATAACGTTAGCTGTATTTGACAAAACCTTTCGGTATTTTTGGTCGTCAATGCTCTTCAACTTCGTACTTTATTTGGCATTTTTATTTAACTTTTTCAATTCAAGCGTCACTGATGAGTCGTTTGTAGACGAAATGCGCGTCTGGCGAACAAAATTTTAATTCTGGTATCTATGTTGAGTTTTTATACATTCAATTTACTGATTAAAAGACTTTTTTTAATCGTTAAGATTGCCAATTCGAACATATAATATTATAAACATTGCTTTTGGGATTGAAGATAATGCTCAGTGATTATAAAATAGGATCAAGCTATATTCTATAACATTTATTAACGTCTCTTGTATTCAGGAAAAACTAGACATTCCTGCATGGTACAGGAATGTTTTCTGCAAAAATTGTCAGACCCTTTCGTAGGCAGTCCTATGATTAATGAGATAATAAAATCATTTTTTCCCTAATGACACATCGATGTTTTAATTTATATTTATTTTTCTTTACATAATTTATGTTACTGCTTGTTGTACATTATATAATATTTATGTAATATAAAAATGAATCAATTACTGGGGATGGTTTTTTTTATATCAAGATTGTCATATAAACGATAATCATTTTAGTCTAGACAAGGAAGTTCTATAAGAATAGAACCTCCATTCTCTGGTTGCTGTTTGCAGTATATTCATTATCCTGATTTATGTTTCAAAGTATTTTATAAATTGTCTAGAAATTCGATATTCATTTTGTCAACAGCTTAGAGGCAGGTACATCTGTGATGCTTGTAATTATTCAAAATAATCGTTTAATACTGAAACAATGCAAATATTTTGAGCGAATTGATATAAAGTAGATTAATTTTTGCTAAAAGGAAATTTTAACAGTGTTTTCAGATATTGTGCTGTTACATCTCTGCTCCAGGTAAGGAAAGGGTTTAGCGCTCACAAGCATGTTTAATCCCGCCACATTCTGTATTTGCTTTACCGAGTCATATTTGTTTTACAGAATTAAGTATGTGGATTAGGCCGTTGCATTTCCCGTTTGAATCTTTTACATTTCTCATATTTGCGCCTTTAATACCTGAATACTATACGGTATGGGTTTTGCTCTCTGTTGAAGGCCGTAAGTTGACCTATAGTTGCGTACGACTCCTTCATCTAATTTCTGTTGATTAGTTGTCCCATTGGCAATCACTACACATAGTTTTATAAGTATAATTTCAAATTAAAGATTGTCTTGTTTTTCTATATTTTCTTTGTTTCTGAGTTTCTTTGAAAACTGGTGTCAAGCTCTGAATAAATAGCAAAGAATGACACACAAGAAACTGTATATAATGTCTAATACTCTGATATGATTACTTACTGGAGTCCTATCAAATTACGAATTTTCGACAACAGACTGTAAGACTTAATGATTTTGCCTTTTCTTTTCTTTAATTTAACCTTCTACAATTACTTTATTTAAATCCGACACTTTTCGTTTGAATTGTTTTACATTTGTCATTTCGGGGCCTTTTATATCTGACTATTCGGTATGGGTTTGCGCATTGCTGAAGTCCGTACAATGACATATAGTTGTTAACTTCTATGTTATTTGGTGGAGAGTTGTCTCATTGTCAATTATGCCACATCTTCTTATCTTCATACATAAATCGGCCATTATTACTATACATTTTGGATTCATCCGAGTTGCATCTTTCTATCAAAAATATATGTCCTCGAATAATAAAAACAAACAGATATAGTTATAAGGAGACAGTCAAACAAATTGTTAAATTGTTCTCTTAACACTTTTTTAGAATAAGTTTTTTTGTTGAATAATGTATAGAAGTTTTATATATATATATATATATTCAGCAGAATAGTGTAATAAACGGGTATATGAAAGTCTTGCACATGTCGTTGTAAACTATCTTTTTTACGATCTCAAACGTGCATGTGAACAAAAAGCATACAAGAAGGAAACTTCAAAATGCGAATGATGCACAATATTAAATCGAAAAAAGATAAAGAATTGTATTGCGAGGACCTTCAAGGCATAGGAAAAATTGACATTACTGTGATCATAACGGCATTCTTCATTAAGATTATCAGCTGTTGCCGATTTTTTGTTAAATGATGTCATTTGAAGTATAAATATTCTACCATACTTTCCTTTAAAGTATATGTTAAACGTTGTTCAGAGCACATTGAGCTTTCGTGACATAGTGGCATATTGGTTTGCTAGCCAAGACTTATAAAACCTTAAAAGTACTTACTATGAATCACTTGCGTTAGGAAAGAATCTATATTGAATTACATTAGCAGGGTAAATCAATGTTGATTTTTGTCTATCATGTCATTTTGCGATATAAAAGGGTTTTGCTCTTATTCTAAAAAAGCGCACATTTCATATTTCCAAATATATTTTTTTTTTCAGACACTAGAATCAATTAATAAGAAAAATCAAGAAAATCATTTTTTTTGAATTTTTCGTCGAGTCATTCTATGGTATTAATTGTCTTTCTCCTTTGCGTCATACAATCGTACTTTTAAGTTTACAAAATCTTTTATTTATTCTAAAATACTTCATTTTAATTGCAGAGATGCTTTTGGTCAGTATGATAGTATTTTAAGGGTAAAGAACAGTTTTCAGGATGCACGACAAGTGTGTTTCCAATAACATTAGGATTTTGGCTTAAAATATTAAAGATATTGTAACAAAAAAGAGTCATGTACAAAACACAAACCCGGCCATGATCCCATTTGACGTATGAATTTTTAGTAATTACAACTAATAAAACTATAATATAAAATATGAATCATAACCGTTTCCAACAGTTTGGTTACTTTTGGAATGGTGACCATGGAAACTAAGTGTTCATAACCTGCGAAACAAACTCAGTGCTAGAAATGTAGAAATCCATTAGTGATCCATATTTATCTGGGAACGTTACACGTTCAAGACTACAAATATCTGCAAGCATCGAATCCGAAAAAGAACAAGATCATGAAATGTCATTTTACCATTTTGTACTTTAGTTTAGAAACACTTTATATTTAGTCACGAAAATGGAGCCGAAATATAACAAGGTAGAAAAAAAAAACTCATAGATCTAAAAGAGACCTAGAACAGTATTGCAAAAAAGAAAAACACGACGAAGTGACAAATAACAATCTACGAAACACTACATGAAAGCTAACGACTGAGCAACACCAACACCAACAAAAATCCAGTTTGTTCATCAAAAAATGAAAACAACACGTTAAATAATTTCATGCGTCCGAATTGACAAGTTGACAAATAAGAAAGTCATTTGTCTTGTCGACATGTATCGTTTTAAACTCATAGGTGTAAAATCACCATCTTTTAAAGATTAATTTGCAGAAATGTCAATATTTTTTTCTGGGGCGAATGAATCTCTTAAATTTAACATAACATCAAAGAATGGAGTGGTGCCATATATTCCTTCATGTGCAAAATAGTACTAAGTGTAATAAGAAAACATTAATTTGGATTATGAGTAGTTTTAATTTAAAGACAGATTGTCATGCATTTTTGATTTGCTGGTTTCTTGTCCTTACAGAAGCTGTCATTTGCTGGTTTCCTGTCCTTACAGTCGCTGTCATTTGCTGATACTTTTGTCCTAAAAAGAGAAAAAGTGCAGAATAATTTGTCAAGACAATAGAGGTAATGATTGTTAATTTATTTATCTTTTATTCGTTTATTCATTTGCATATTTTCTAAACTGGTCAAATAACTGTGTGTATGCCCATTAAAAATTATCGATACAAATAAGTTCCCATTAATTAAATTTTTATGAATTAAACTGTGCTTCTGTACACTAACATGTTATCGGAAAACTTTTACTTTTGCAAATTATAATACAGTATAAGTCATTCTAACATATTATTAAGCGGTAAATTATGATATTTACATAGAATTTCAACGGCTCGAAACAATTTGTGGCTAATATTGTGTACATTAAAAGTTTTTTTGGAGTATCAAAACTACACATCAAAGCTCTAAAGAAATAGTAAATGAAATGCACCGGATACAGCTTCAAAAGCAATTCAAACTAACATTTATTGTTTTAAGTAATTATGATATTGAGTACCTCTCATTTTTCAGCTTCAGAGTTATTTCATATCGTATCTTATTAAATGATGAAGTAAGGTGAAAGTCATGATGCGTTTATCTATAAAAGTAATAGTTAAAATGTAATTATCGTTAAACTTTGTTAATAATCCTACCTTTGACATAGAAATCCAAATTTCTTATTACAATAGTAGTCTCCCCATTTGTAACCTTCATTGGAAAACCAGTATAGCAAACAATTTTGAGTAGAGTTAGCATCAGGTTGACTGCTTTGCCAGTCTGAATACGTAATCGCTTTAAGTGGGTTATGCCATTCCCAGGTCTTCTTATCGGGTAAATTGCTTGCCCCAATCCACAGCCAAGTTTTCTCTAAAAACCAAATGATGATAAGTATAACAAAAACTATGACCAAACATATTTTTTCAAAGTACCTAAACTTTTTGAATAATATTGATCACTTTTATCAACTTAAAGTTAGAAAATACATTTTTCTCATTAGTACTCATTCGACACCATGAGGTAGCTGTTAAAAGGTTATTGAATTCTACACTTCAAACAGAATGGGCTTTGGTCAAATTTTACACCCAAATAATATTACAAAAAAAGTTTAATTTTTAATTACAGACAGCGTAGGCTAGTGTTTGCATTCCAGATAGCGGTGACATCTTCGATGTTATGACTTATTATAATTACACTTAGCATGCGCTACGTTTTTCTCAATTCTATGTTTTAATATATAGCGTTTTCATTACACATAGATTTTCAGCAGGGCACTCAACTTCAAAAAGGAAAATGGCGAAAAAGATAAACAAAAGCCTACAAAACCTCCACAGAAAAACAAAGGTTGCATCAATTGAGCTATATTCGTTTACTAACATGACGCATCGGGGGAAAATAGATTAGTATTCGAATTCATTTAAACCGGTCTTTATATAGACAGGGGTAGGAAATTCTTTACATGTACTGTTTTGTAGAATTAAGTAAACAATAGAAACCATGCTATTAGTCAATTTGGATAATTTCTGTATACATGTATTTTTTTTTTTTTTTTAGAAATTTTAAGTATTCTATTTTCAGTAATATCAAACCACAAATAATTCTTTTCATGAGAAATTGACAGTTAATTATAAGAATAATATCTATAGTATCGTATTATTCCTGATACACATCTCCTTATTTAGATAAACGTGGTTAATATTTGCCAATGGCAGTTTGAAATAACAATTTGTATAAAAAAAGGAACATGGGAAATGGCTGCTAATTAGACAATTATCCATCAGAGTCCAAATGAAGTTGTTGACTTGGGCAACTCTTGTTAACCGTATGGCCTCCAAAAATGAAACATATACCGTATAGTCCGCTATTAAAGCCCGTGCCATAACAAAATGTGAAACAAATCAATCTGGAAAACAAACCTGATGGATGGCAAAACGATAAGCGAAAAACAATAATAACAGACAGCATTCACTGACAACTACTGAATTACAGGCTCCTGACTTAGGACAAGGAAATAATTATCTATATATAAAGAATGTGTCGGGATAAAACGTGTTTGTGCGCATTCAACTCTTCTCTAATCTACTGGGAACATTGATATAACAAAACAAGATAAGAACAAACTATAAAAATCGTTTGGAAAAAAAATGAAAACAATAATTTCCGGGGTCCAAGGCGCTTTTTTTATTTATCTTTATCAGACGAATATATGAAAGCCAAGGATGTATAAGAACCGAACCAGTTGAAGAGCTATATGACCACACTGGCTTTATTCGTCAGATTAACACGAAGTACAAATCAACTAACACAAAGACAAAGACAAATGACACACAGTACATAATTAAGAATAGTTGCAGTAATTAAGAGTCAATTCCAACAAGTGAATAAACCATGTTCATTAATGATAATAAATAATTCACATAGTACATGCATCTAGGTAACAATCATTATTTTAACTACATTGAGATATCATAACTTACTGTCAGTTAGTGACTTCAGATAGTTGTTGATATCTGCACTTTCTGGCTGAGCTAATACCCCTACATGTTGGGAACAGTATCTCTAAAATACATCAATACAGGTTTAACTATATTTTGGGTTTTTTTCGACTTTGTTTTGTTGGGTTTTTTTTACGTAGGTTTGGTTTGTTTTGTTTAATTTTTTGTATTTTGTTTTGCTGATATTTTTTTTCTTTTTTCTTTTTAAAATTTGTTGTTTGTTTTGTTTTGATTTAGTGTGTTTCTTTCGGGGAGAGGGGTCGTGGGTTGACTTACTTTTGCTTTGTTTTTCAGGGGTCAACCATTTAGTGAATTTCCGTTTTGGATTGTTTTTTTCTTTTTCTATTTCAGCAAACTTTCATAGAATGGGAATGGAACTGAGAAACTACATCATTAAATTGGCAGCCCTTCCTTTATATCATATAGCATATGTATATCTATTTTTGATTACAATTTTAATTATCTAAGAAAGAATAGTTTGTTGATATATATTCTTCTAATAAAATGACAACAAACCAAAAATTGAGTTTTTACTAAATGTATCATTCATTTTATTGGGTTAGTACCACGACAGCAAAATACCCTCTTGTTTTGTAAAATCTTCCTTTACATCTGTAAAACGTTCTTCAAGAAAATTCATGTAAGGAGTATGATCATATGGTTCACAAAGAATGACTTCTCTTTTTCATATTCTCGAAATCCCGAAGTCCTTAAAATCTATGTTGAAATTCGTTATTTCAGAATCTTAAGCACAGTTGCATTGTTCGTACTTAAAAAAAATGAAAATAGCTTCACATCACTGGTTCCAATGTTAATGACGTTTCAAATCAACGTTTTTGTATATGCTTTGAAAAGCAATACCCAGAATGCATTATATGCTGAAACGGACAATAGTATCTAACTTACCTGAGCTTCGATCCATGTCGATTTAGTTGTTACCAAAGCATATTCCATTCCTTTATAAGTGTTCCAACTTAGCTCCCAACAACAGACGGTGGTGTATGCTTAAATTGAGTTAAGTTTTCATTATCTTTTGATGAGTAATGTATGCATATTTTTTAATGGCGTGTATTTAAAATTGATGAAATTATAACACCAAGCAATGGGAAATCCCTAGAATTTAGCAGTTTTATATTTTAAAATGCTGTTTATAAGATTGTGAGATAGAGATTTAAACCATATAATTTGTTTGAATTTTTTTTTTTAAATGAAATTTTATACTCACATAAAACAGTTAAAGTAGCTGCAAAGAAAATTAAATTCATGGTCGTTTGAAACGTATGCCCTAAAAGAATGCCAGCAAGTTACATACAGTAATGTTAACAAATATACTATGTTTTTTTTTAACCATTTATTTGTTTAATGGTCTATTCATCTGTGACATCGATAGTCTTACCTTGATATAATTTATGTAATGGTATATTACTATATGTTCGTGATAACAAGAGCTCAGTTTCCAAGTACCTTTTATAATACACGATATATTGTTTTGTTTGTTTTTGGTATTCTTTTTTTTATTAAAGAAGGGAATTTTCTATTATTTTAGTTGTCTTATATAGAAAATGCATACTTGTAAATCTTAAACATTTGAAAACATATGTACATTTTCTTGCAGCGTAATTTGATGATAATCTAGTTTCAAATGATCACTTACCTTGAAAATTTTGAGGTGGTTGAAAACTTGTTTTGAGAGGTTGCAAATAATGCATGAAACTGAATCAGGTAGACTTCATACTTTTATGCATTAACACAAACGCATTTTCTTTGATAACAACTTTGGTGTCAGAACTCATATAAAACTCTCAAAATTACATTATAGCTTCCCTGATCGTAAGGATAATTATAATGTTTTCGTGAAAATAATAAGCCATAGTGCTGCGGTTGTAGAGTGTAGCCTCAAACAGTTCTCAAACCATCATCTGCTATACTATTTCCGTACTCAACGGAATTGATGAACTTATCTCAGGGACTGCCATAACTCTTGCCCACAGGCAACAGCTAAATGAAGACATTTTAGCAGTCTATAGAAGCAAATAACAAATGTATTATCTTTTGAACTTTATAGTATAACGTCATCAAAAATCACAATACTTTGCAATGTAAATTAAATGCAGTACACATTTTGAAATTGAATTTCTGAAATTACCTAATCTTCAAAAAAACCTTAAGTCAGTTCGGAACTTGAGAATCATTTTTAAAGAATGTCTGATATTCTATTGATCAAATATTTGGAAGTCAAAAGAACACATAAATTAAAAAAAACAACAAAATGAGGCATCATTGAACCTAATCACCTGAATTTATTTGTTTACCGCCTCAAGTCTTCTGTATAATTGTATATGATTAGTTTTGAAGATGTATCTATGTGGAGATCTCAAATCTCTCTATGAAACATTTTCAGAGTAATTAAACAAAATGATAGTTCATTTTTAGAAAGATAATACTGGTAGGCACCGTTAAACAATCATGGAAACAAAGTTAATCAATTAGCCCGAATTTCGCGTCTTAACAATTGTGATCCATATTTACATATAAGACGAAGAACTGCATTCAAAGCGCGGTTATTTTGATTAGCGTTTTAAAACGGGGCTTGTCAGGATTATGAGTCATGAATTAAAATACCGTATCCCTCTATTTCTATCATGTATATTATATAAGTATAAGACAAGACCAATATGTAAATGCGCCAACCAAAAAAAAATCACATCTAAATGATAACTTCTAGATCTCCCATTCAGATGTAAAGACGAGTTAATATATCAAGGTCAAGATGCTTATAAATTAAAACAATCAAATCTTCTATCGACTTATTATATAAATGATATAATTGTAAAATTATAAAATAATAAAGTGGCTATTCGATACTTGTAGATTATGCATTCTAATTAAATCAGTGTTCAGGCGTTCATATGGCATTATAACGCTATCAGTTTCTTGTACGACTTTGCCCCCAGCAGAGCTATAGAAAAACAGTATATTAACGGGTGTTACACAGACACTTTTTAGATGATACACGGAGACTTTTTAGTTGTTACACGGACACTTTTTATCAATAGAATCACTCGTGCATGATCAGTGAGTTCATGGGCACTTCAAATTTCAATTAAATTTGAACTTTTTGTTTCACCGACATATTTCCTGTCTTTTTTAATAAAAATATTTACGTTGGCATCAATAACTATATTTTTTTCAAACAATTCCAGTATATTACTATTCATGTCAGTACACTTAGGGATTGACCATTTAACTTCAAAAGGGGGTTATGGTTTTTTCCTAAAAAAAATATTCTGATCCCCAATTTTATGAGAAAAAATATATTGTGGTCAAGCAGATGACAAAATAATGTTTTGATTCCTGATTTTCTGATTTTTTTTCAATATATGGACATGAATAGTATTCTGGACAATGCTGAAAGTAAATAAATGCTGGTACCGACGTTTATATTACAATAAAAAAGACAGGAAATATATATAAAAAAATCAAATCTAATCAAAAGATAAAATCCCTATCATCTCACCAATGCACGTTTGATCCTATAGATATAAAGCGTCCGTGTAATACAAGTTCAGATAGACAGCAAATCTTGAACAAAATCATTCAACTTATGTCACCAATTTTGGACGGTAAGCTACGATTGGATCATATTGTGACACACGTGTTTAATCCTGACCAACACTATTAGAGGCACATATAAAAACCTACAAGCATGTCATTTTTAACACAAATCCAAAATATATGCCTATATATATCTAATAACAAGGCAAAATCCATTTTTTCATAATATTTCATTCACCAATGAAATAGGAAATTCATTCTTTTTATACATTCATATTGTTATTGAATTCGTATATATTGGTAGCAAATGTAATATTTTTATTATTTTTTAAAGGGGAGAATGGGATGGCACATCTTGCATTTTTTTCGACAAAAAATGAATCAAGCCTGTTTATTTTAAATTTATTTTACCCTCCCAACCCCCTTTTCGTTTCCCCCCAAATAAAAATGCATAACTTACTTGCAAAGTTGCATTTTAAAAAGTCTCAAATGTTTACGACATTCATCTTTTACATGACATGGTCCTTTTTATAAAATTATTAGATTCTTGAATTTCCTGAGCAGAAACTATCGACTGAAGGGAAATGAAAAAAAAGTTTTATTTAACTGTAACATTTACTGGTATATGGCCAATTACGTTTCTAATATGTTTAATTTTGCTATCTCTTCTAAATGCAAACTCATAAAACTTATAAACTACTTCTTTCTTGAAACGTCGTACAAGTCAGATACAAAATAAACGTAAAAATGACAGGCCGGAAACAAACTGTCGTATAGTTTTTCTGCATGAGTAGTTCAAAAGGATCTAAAGATATGTTTATTATTTTGAAAAAAAATAAAATTGTTCTAACTACTCGGTTAACATGGTTAAAATGGAATGAAATGTTTTGATAGACGACTGTTTCCTTAACAATGGTCATTGGTTGCCGTTTCAAATGATAAAATTTTCCAAGAAGATTAAACGAAAATTGAATAGTATCATAAAACATTGATAGTAGACTAAAGGAAATATTTTGCTTTTGCAGCGATTTTATCGTTTTGGGAGAATTTATTAGAATAGCAAGTGTTTGTAAAAACAGCGTAATTGACAACCTGATGTGCGTTTGATCTGGAATTTTGTATTCTGCTCTTTAAGTATCGTATATTTTTTGGAATCTTTTTATAATACAAGTGTCGGAAAATCAGTTTTATGGTAATAAAAAAATTTTTGGCAGTAAATTTTTATACACTAAATTCTAGCTATATAGGCTACTGTTTCAACTTGTATAGGTTTTATTTCTTATCAATGTTGTAATAAGAAACCGAAAATTTCCATGGTCTTTGTCTAGGAATTATGCAAGTTTTTGTTTACAGGCAGTCAAGGTCAGCATGGTCATGGCATGATCAGGGTCAATACTAATTATCAGTGGCCACAAATATTTTAATTGACCAATGAGGATTAAGTGCATGGTAACTTTTAACAAGCGTATGGTTGCGCCCGCATTATCGCAATTGCACTGAATGCTACTAGACGCTATTTTTGTTTTGCCAGAAAAGTAAAGATTTACAATTTTCAAGTTTGTTCCTGAAAGAGGCTTTGGACAGAAGATAACTGACGATTTAGTACAGAAAAGACGTAGTTACGATTACACAGAACTTGTTCAGAAGGTAAAAGCCATATAAAATATTATTTAATTCAAAATATTCGTATTATATTGATATTGTAAATTCTTAAATTTGTATATTATGGTTCATCGAGTTTTGATATTTGGTCATTCATTTGTACATAGATTAGAATCATTTTTGTACGAGAATCGTGAAGAAGGGCGATACAATTTAAGATTCGATGGTACCGAAATTCAGGTTGAATTTGCAGGTTTCGGTGGAAGTACATTGCGTCCGGGTCGTAAAAGCAATTAGAAAGCAGAATTTATGCACGTTTTTTACACTATTAAACCATATTCTATATTTATTCATATTGGCGGTAATGATTTGACAAGCAAGAGGAAACCTGGGAAATTGGCTCGAGCTATCGCGTCATTCTGTGATTACATAATTACAGTGTATGGTGTTAGTCCCGTGATCGTTGGGCAATTACTGCCGAGGTATTCCGAAAGGTCGGGTCCCGATTATAACAACAAAGTAAACAAAGTGCATCAGGTACTGTCTTCAACTTTGAAATCACGTACAAATATTACTTTTTGGAAACATCGGGGCCTGTGGAAAAACACGAAAGTTTTGTTGTCAGATAAAGTTCATTTAAATGATGATGGTATGCACATCTACGCTAAAAGTATTCGTGCAGCTGTTGGTAGTGCAAATCGTATGTGAAATAATTAAAAATTAATAAAATCAAAATGAAAATGAGATATCTAACGATACGTTTACATAGTTTGCTTATAATAAATAAAAAGCTTTAGTTATAGTATGCTATTATCTGTACATGTACATCATTGTTTTATTATTCGTGAAAATTTATGCATCGGTTATTTAATACTTTAACTAGTATATACAAATTTTTGCAGACAATCCACTGCTCTTGTGTAATTTATCCAATTTATTGTGGCACACAAATGTATCATTATACACATGGTTTTATTGCCATCATTATGGCTATGGTTATCATATATGTCAGTGCAATTTTGTAAAATAGTATCAATTTGCACTGGTTATATGGTTATATTTTGTATCATTATACATTCATATGGTTAACCATCATTATGGTTAAGGTTCTGATATTCATTGTGCACTTTTGTATTTATGTATCAGATTACACT